AATTGGCCTAGTAACCTGTTAGTGCTTCTGCTCTACCTCCTAGTTCATTAAAGAATGCCTGGTGTCTTAAAATTTTGCAAGTGGCCATCCAAGGCACAACAACTGATCTCTATTGACCTGGAGCAAGAAGAGAGGGAGTCAGGAATAAGAGAAGGGTAGGGAATTTGTGGCTAATTGCCTCAATAAATTTCCTTTACCATGACACCAGAAGAACTGGATGGTGCCAGCCACCATTACTGAACACTGATCAAAGATTCCATAGAAGAATCCTGATCAAAAGGAGGAAAATGCAAACCAGAATTTCAAATTCTTATGGACTCTGGACTTTCTGAGCTATGGGGGCTGGATGAACTTCTGAAACTACTGCCCCAAGATAATCTTTAAACCTTAAACAAAAAATATCCCCTCAAGTCTTAAAACCAAACAATAGTTTAGCTTAACTAGTGAAAAAGGTCTGTCCTGAGCATTGTACTTTTAAGAACTATCTATATGGGATCAAATTGATAGCAGCAAATCAAAAGATTAGATAGGAATCTAGGGACAGTTTATGTTAATAAGGGAGGAACAACTCAGAAAAGGAGGGTGAGAATGGTTGTACAACTCAAAAAATGTAATCAATGTCACTAAACTGTATATGCAGAAACTGCTGAATTGCCGTTATGTTTTGCTGTGTATATTCTCAACAACAACAAAATAAATAAAAAAAGCTTATCAGCTAAAGTGCATAGTATGGATTCAAAAGGTGTTTACTGAATTGATATTATTTTTCATGTTGATTTTAGTCTTGGTTTCTTATAAGTACTATTTCTACTTGAAAGACAAATGATTAAATTTATAATGTTGATTAAAAAAATAAAAGTAATTAACAATACATTTCAAACTATTTACATCTTCTATCACAGACCAAAATGTTTATACAGGTATAAAAACAAAAAAACAACTTACTGCCCTCTAGTTGATCCCGACTCACAGCCACCCCTCCTTGGGTTCCCGAGGCGGTATCTGTACGGATGTAGATTGCCTAGTCTTCCTTCCGAGGAGTAGCTGGTGGGTTTGAACTGCCAGCCTTTAGGTCAGCAGTCAAATGCCTCAGGTGCCATGCCACCGAGTATAGCAAAAGTTAAATCATATTTATATCTTTTTACAGGCTGACATGAGAGTTGCCTCCATAATTCAACTAACTTAACCAATGACCTTACAAACTCTGAATATTAACTCTGGTAAAAACATGAGACCAAAGGGTGTCTTAAAGAAAGCACGAGTTATGCATGTGAGTATGTCACCCAGACATAAAGTCCAATACTAGTCTATTTCAAATGCTCCTCTTTAATAAAACAGGTAGTAGGTTGTTAGAAATCTTTCTAAGATCCTGATATACACATAAGGAGCTGTGGTGGCCCAGTGCCTAAGGCATTTGACTGCTGGTGGCTCAAAACCACCACCAGCTGCTCCACAGAAGGAAGATGGGGGAATCTACTTCCATAAAGATTTACTGCCTTGGAAACACAATGGAATCGACAGGATGGCACGGTTTTTTGGTTTGATACACACATACTTGAATATGAACATCAGCAGGAAAAAGTTCACAATCCAAAGGCTCCATATTTAAACAATCCCTAAGAATAAATGCCACTGTGAAAGATTACACTTTTTAAAAACATATTAAGAATTTTCATAATGTAATCCAAATGATACCTATGTGTGAAGTCAGCCAGGCATAACAGCCTATAGAGACCTCTTTCCTTTCCCTCTGTGGTTATTAGGAGCTCTGGTAGTATAGTGCCTAAGATACTCGCCTGCTAACCAGAAGGCTGGCGGTTCAAACCCACCAGCCACTCCCCGGAAGTAAGATGGGGCAATCTACTTCTGTAGTAATACTGCCTCAGAAACCCAAGGAGGGGTCACTATGAGTTGGGTCCGACTTGACGGCATATAACAACAACATGTGGTTATTAACTAAAAAACTAAAATTCCTAACTTTTAATCTATATAAGCCAGTCAGGAGTTTTAAAAATAATTAAAATTTACTTTTCTATGACAAACATTCCAAAAATGACTACCCAAATAAGCAATTCTGAGGTATAAAGAATAGGACATCTTTAATCTTAGCAATTCAATATGCTTTGCATATCCACAATGCTCAGAACATAGACTTCCAAAATATTCTACAGAATTGAATTTATGTAATAGAGACTGGGAAGAATCCTTAAAGATCATTTATTCCTCACTGTACATATATGAAAAGCTGTTTGATCTTGGGTAAGTCAATTTTTCATGTCTCATTCTTCCATATTTTGAAGGGGCTGAACTGGATATTTCTACCATTCTTCCCACTTCTAAAGTTTCTCTAAAAAAGAAAAGCAAGGTTTGGTGAAATGACTTATGCAATTACATATAAATGTAGAATCAAGACAGGAAGGGAATTTGTAAGGCTGAACACTTAATTCTGCCAAGTCCTACATACCAGTACCTCACTTAATACTCTAAATAACCTGCACATGCTAGGCTGTTTTGGGGCTCCTAAACTGTTTGTGTTGTTAGATACCCAGGAGTCCATTCCAACTCATGGCGACCCCATGTCTGTAGAGTAGAAATGCTCCACACGGTTTTCAAGGCTGTGACCTTTCAGGAGCAGACTGCCAGCCTTGTTTTCAGGGGTGCCTCTGGGTGAGTTCCACTGCCAACCTTACTACTAGTAGAAAGTGATTAATCGATTGCACTGCCCATATGCTGCCAAAACCCTCCATTCCTGTTCTTAAAGAGTAAAGGAGAAAGGCTTTTACATGTAATAACAACAACTAAGTGATCAACAATCCAAATCTTAACTGGGAAGTTAGTGCAATCGAGTTAACATTATTTTAAATCCAAGTGTAGCCTATTTTTAATAAAACTTGATATATGAATCCTAAATGTAGATTAGTAAAATGAAAGGAGTTACAGCAGAGTCTTAGAGATCATTTTATAGATGAAGCAATGAAAACCAAAGGGTTTGCCCATTTTTAACTCAACTAAAATCGTAGCAAGAACTATGTGGTCTTCTAACTTTCAGGTCTTCTTTTATGATCACTCTAACTACTCTAGGAAATCCAACTATTTGCATGACAAAATGTTTGCTATACCAAAGTATTCACTATAGTAAAATCCACATGGCTAATAGATTTAAAAATGATGTAATTTGCAAGATTACTGGTAGTGAATATTTCAGAAATATGGAAGGCAAGCGTTGCCTAAACTAAGTCTTATGGATGAAAATTAAAATATTGTTTTTGTGAATACTGGCTGGCCCATAATTGGTGTACAATAAATGTTTCCTAAGTGAATATGCTTTGGTAGCATAGTGGCTAAGGCACTTGACTGTTAACCAGAAGGCTGGCGGTTCAAACCCACCAGCCACTCCTCGGAAGGAAGGTTGGGCAATCCTACTTCCGTAGTGATACTGCCTCGGAAACCCAAGGAGGGGTCGCTATGAGTCAGGGCTGACTCGACGGCACATAACAACAACAACAACAAGTGAATATGCTTACACAAGGAAAGGATTACCATAATGGGCAATATATGAATGTCCCACTCAAATCAAGGCACCTTAAGTAGAACTGCGTGCCTGTGATTATTTTAATATTCTTAAAGTGGTCTACTAAAAAACTTTAGGGCCGAAAGAGATACGACTTTTTATATGGCAGAAAAGAGCATCAGCACAACAATTCTACATAGCCATTTTTTGATAAGACTCTCTCAATCCTATGGGAGCTCTGGTAGCATAGTGCCTAAGGCGCTTGACTGCTAACCAGAAGGCTGGCGGTCCATATCCACCAGCCACTCCTAGGAAGGAAGATGAGGCAATCTACTTCCGTAGTGATACTGCCTCGGAAACCCAAGGAGGGGTCGCTATGAGTCGGTCCGACTCGCCGGCACATAACAACAACAACAATCCTATAGATAAGAAGTCTTACTCTTAAAATTGCTGTAATTCTCCAAATAACATAGAAGGAACAAATCTAAGGAGAATATTACACTGTTTCAGCAAAATAGATGTCGCACTCATGTTGGCAATCAGGGAACTAAGACTTTTTAAGGCTTTCTCCTAATCTTGTACACACAGCATAACTATCAAAGCGTTCGACTTCTCCCCACCCCCTGCTTTCTCCTTGAAGCAGAAGAAAAAAAGCAGAGGGTGTGCAAGAGGGTTGGTTTTTATGGTAGGAAGAAAAAAAAAAATCTGACCCAGAGGAACTGCCGCTGTGCACCACCTCTCGAGTCCAGGAGAAGCTCGGTTAAGGGAATTTTCCAAGACCTAGAAACAAGCTAAATCCACTGCGGACACCACAGCCTTCCCCGTTCGTGCCTTTAAACGCCCTGAGGATCTACGCAGGCAGAGCCCGGAAATTAGTGGTCCCAGGTTCGAGGTGGGGCTGGAGCGATGCGAGGAGGCTCTTGCCCAGGCAGCACGCAAGGAAGGCGAAGGAGGCCTCGGCGCCCATTTTGTCCCCGGCCTCCGCACTTCCCGCCGCGTCCCGACGGGAAACGCAACCTACGCGAGGTCTGGAACTACACTCCTCGCCGCGGCCCTGCAGACAGACTAGGCCGCGACGCAAGGTCCTGTTCCGCAGCAACCTTGGGACAGGCGCCCACCCAGCCCCGCCTGCCGCCCCTCAGGACACAGATCCGGCCTCCGCCTATTCACTGCCCTTAAGGCCTGAAGCCTCACACCCAGACAGACATTACTGCCTCAACTTCCCGGGCTCGAGCCCCCTCACCCCTCCCTGTCTCGGCATCACCACACCCCGCCCAGGATTCACAACTCTGCTCCCCAAGCTCCAGCACCCTTATTCCTCCCGCCCGCCTCACCCCTGCCCGCCTGGGCCTCACTTCGTCGGCTCCCCGGAATCCAGCCCCAACACACTCTGGCACGCACCTCAGGGCAGGGCTCTCAGGACCCTCAAAAGCCCAGACCGCACGCCGCCCCCACCCCAAGGCCCTCTCCAGCCCCACCCGGACCGTACCCCCCGGCAAATAGGTGCACCAGCGTGTCCCTCTGGCTCATTCTCTCTCCTGCATGTCCTTCGGGCTCTGAGACAGGGCGCGGATCCGGCCGCCCGCGACGGCCGGCGGCTTCGGTCCCAGACTGAAGGCGCAAAGCGCCCCACTGACGGCGAGGGGAGCAGGCAAAGATGCGGCTGCAGCAGCAGCCGGCACAGCCCTCCACGCCGCGCTCCCACCGCTGCCGCCTCCGCCTCTATCACCGCGCAGGCAACCAGAGTCTAAAAGCTGCACGGTGGAGGGGGTGGCGGTACAAGAATATTAGGAGGACCCGGCCATAAACAGAGGGTTCCATTGGTCCGCGCTTCGATGACGTCATGCGGCTGGCAGGCCTCTTTCACGTGATCGCTGAGGGGTTTCTCAATGAAATGGGCCGCGAGGCGGGGCTAGAACGCGTGCCCGGAGGGTAGAAAGTCATAACGCCCTCGCACCTAATCTGCCGGCCCCAAAGCCTGTACCGGCCTGCGCAGGCGCGCGATTGGGGCTGTGCTCCCGCGGCTCAGGGGCCTCTTAAAAGCCTACTGGGTTCTGCGTCTGCAAGCAGAGTAAGGGTGAGGAGCGAACCTAGTGTCTAATTTACTTCTAAGAAACAGAATTTGTGCATCAGTAATGCTGCTTGCTGGTGTCTGCCTCAGAGTAACACTCGCGCAGTGCATGGTAGGGCCAATACAAGAATACTCTTGGCAACAATGCTTGTAAATATAAGTTGTTGTTACGTGCTGTCGAGTCAACCGGACTCATAGCGACCCCTCCTTGGGTTTCCTAGGCAGTATCACTATGGAAGTACAAATATAAGTAGGGAATCGAAAAGTGGGGCATTGGTGATTCAGTGTTAGAATTCTCTCTTAACATGCGTTTTGCATGGGGTGTCCATGAGTCAGGGCTGCAGCTAACAACAATAGAGAAATAAATTATGAAACATTTCTATGAAATATTATGCAATCATGAAAAGGAGTGAGATAGACCCATATGGAAAAATCTCGAAAGTCATAGTAAGTACAAAAAAAAGCAAATTGAAATAAAGCACTGCTTATTTTAGAAAGCTTAAGGAAAACCGATCTTTAGGCATTCTTCTGACCAGCAGATGGTTCTTATATGTAAACATAAGAATGTCAAAGACTAATAGGAAGAAAATGTTTTATTTTTTTATGACATGACATTTAAATATTTTAGATTTTTCGTCATTATTAATTATTTCTAAGGTTTAGAAAAATAACAATTGTTAGTATTTTCCACCTCTTTGGTCTCATAACTGCCTTTTCACCTGCAATGTTCTTCTACCGTTCCTACCCAAGTGGGACTCTTCAGGGTCCACTTTCCTTCCATCCACTGCCACTTCCTCTATGAAGTCTTCCTTGGTTGCCTAAGCCAGCCGTAATCTTCACCTGCTCCTAAATTCTTGCAACATTTACAGACTGCATCCCACTGGCAAGTGTTCATCATTCCACAGTAAATACTCATCTGTGAGATGGGGAGAAGAGTACCCACCTCATAAGGAGGTTGTGAGGGTTAAATGCATTAAAATATGTTCAAATATATAAAGCACCTATGTAAGTGTTAACTACAATTATTGCTAGTATTATTTTACTGCCTTGTATTTTTAATAACAAAATTGGCAGCCAATATTTCATGAATATTTACTAATGTGCCAGTCTATGAGCCAAATAAATAAATCTTTTATTTTATTAAATTCTTAAACTACCCTTTGAGGTAAGCACTATCCTAATTTATATATGAGGAAACTGAGGTTTAGAATAATTGAGTAACTTGCTCAACATTATCCACTTCATCCAGGAAGAGCTTGGATTAGAATCCAGCAGAATCCGTCTGACTCCTGAGCTTCAGTTCAGGAAGTAATAGCTGGCAAGAGAAAAGAAAATTGGCACCACCTCTCTCAGCCATACTTCCCAAAAGCCAGTGCATTAATATTTTGAGGGTATTTCTTTTCCATAGCAACTTTATTGAGATATAATTCACATACCATACAATTTACCCATTTAAAATGTACAATTTAGTGGTTTTTGTATATTCACATAGTTGTGCAGCCATCACCACTATCTAATTTTAGAACATTTTCATCACTCCAAAAAAGAAACCCTACACTGGTTAGTAGTCATTCATCATTTTCCTCCTCTCCACAGCCTCTGGAAGCTACTAATCTATTTTCCATCCCTTTCGATTTGCTTATTCTGTATGTTTCATTTTGTTGTTGTTGTTAATGTGCCGTCGAGTCATACCTGACTCATAGCGACCCCTCCTTGGGTTTCCAAGGCAGTATCACTACGGAAGTAGGATTGCCCAACCTTCCTTCCGAGGAGTGGCTGGTGGGTTTGAACCGCCAGTCGTCTGGTTAGCAGGCAAGTGTCTTAGCCACTATGCTACCAGAGCTGTATGTAATCGTATATTATAAGGCCTTTTTTTGAGTGGCCTCTTTCACTTAGCATAAGATTTTCAAGGTTCATCAATTCTGTAGCATTTATCAGTGCTTTGTTTCTTTTTATGGCTGAATAATATTCTGTTACATGGAAATACCACATTTTGTTTATCCATTCATCAGTTAATGGATGTGCTGTTTCCACTTTATGAGTATCATGTATAATACTGCTATGAACATTTGTGTCCAGGTTTTTGTGTGGACATATGTTTTCATTTCTCTTGGGTATAGTCCTAGGAATGGGATTGCTGGTGATAATAGTAACTCGCAGTTTAACTTTTTGAGGAATTGCCAACTTGTTTTTCAAAATAGCTGCACCATTTTAGGTGTATTTCTTTTTAGACAATTTAACCTAGTGTATCACATTGTAATAACGTTTAATGGAACTCCCAAAACTAGTAATAGTGGAGCCAGAGTTCTTGTATGCAGTTAACAGTTATTTCAGTAGTGAGCCATAACAATCCATATGTTTCCTTTTTGATCTCCTTCAGATGCCACCGTGGAAGGAAACTCTGCCCCATCACATTCTGGCTGGCCCATTCAAGGTGGGGGCTACCCACTTGGGTGTGGTTGCTGAGCTCATCATTCTTGTTGAGATTCCAGGGTTGAGTTGTCTCTCATGCTTGCTGAGGTTCCACAGCACTGTCTGCCTGCTATTTTATATCTTGCCTTCCTCAGTTCTGGTGATGAAAGTCTGTCATTAAATGATTCCTTCAAGATCAGAGAAAGGTGAGATTTTCTGATCCCTGCTCCCTATACACACACAAGCTTCCAGTTGCTTTTCCAGGAGAATGCCGTTTGGACAAGGTGGTTGGGGCTTAGATTTTGCTTTGGTATCAGACATTCTTTCACTTCCTCCTAATTTCTTACCAACTACAGAGAGAAGGGGGAGCTCTGGTAGCAGAATGCCGAAGGCACTTGACTGCTAACCAGAAGGCTGGTGGTTCAAACCCACCAGCCACTCCTCAGAAGGAAGATGGGGCAATCTACTTCCGTAGTGATACTGCCTCGGCAATCCAAGGAGGGGTCACTATGAGTCAGGTCCGACTTGACGGTACATAACAACATAGAGAGAAGGAGCCCTGGTTGCACAGTGGTTAGTGCTTGGCTGCCAACTGAAAGGTTGCAGTTCAAACCCACCAGCAGCTCCATGGGAGAAAGATGAGACAGTCTACTTCTGTAAAGATTTACCATCTTGGAAGCCCCATGGGGCAGTTGTACTGTGCCCTACAGGGTTGCTAGGAGTCTGAATTAACTTGACAGCAATGGACTGCTGCTGCTGCTGCTTCTTTTTTAATTTTAAAGAAAGATAGTTTGATGGGACAGGAGTCAGCAACCTGATGCTTACTTCAAAATCAAGTATACTCATTATGAAGTTCAGAAGACTGTTGTTCCGTTTCCTGATTGATACTGGCCTCATATTTCTTAACTGCTGATGGGGTGAAGAAACTCACCAAACCAAACCCACTGCTGTTTAGTGAATCCTGACTCATAACAAGCCTATAGGACAGGGTAGAACTGCCCCACTGGGTTTTCAAGGCTGTACATCTTTATGGAAGCAGACTGCCATATCTTTCTCCTGCTCAGTGACTGGTGAGTTTGAACTGCTGACCTTTTGGTTAGCAGCTGAATGCTTTAACCATTGTGCCACTGGAGCAACTTGGTGGTGAAAAAAAGGCCTTAATATCTCTTTTAGAGAACAAATCTCAGATGAAGCACTGATTCAGTTTCTTTTTTTCATGTAGCTTCTATTGGCATTGTAGGTATAGAAAATCCCTGTGGTTTTCAAGCAACATTAGTTTAAAATGATTGGGTAGGTTTGTTGTTGTTGTTGTTTGTTTGTTTTTAATACTTAATGTCTTTTTTGCTATCATAATGGGAGGTTGGGAGAGAAGGTGCTATTTTTATTTTTAATCCAGATAACATTTTGTTTAATGTTTCTTTTCACTTTTAATAAAAAATTTTCAATCCAAACAATACAGAGATGTGTGAAGTAGAAATTAAAATCCTCTAGTCAGCTTCTTTCCTAAATTCCACTCTTCCAGTTTCATTATTTCCAGTTAGGTGCATGTCTTCCTGGATTCTCTATGCCATGAGGGCAATAATCTCAAAGAGCTTCACATTTAGACAGCATTTATCCTGGGCCAAGCATTATATTTATTTGAGATTCAGAGAGGTTAGGGGGTTTGTCCAAGATTATTCAACTAACAAGTAGCCCAGGTGGGTCTAACCAGTGTGACCTGGTTCTAAAATCTGTACTCCTATCCTCATTCTAAGGACCTCTGGTGGTGTAGTGGTTAAAGCATTTGCCTGCTAACCAAAAGGTTGGTGATTTGAACCCACCAGACACTCCATGGAAGAAAGAGGAGGAAGTCTGCTTCTGTAAAGATTTACAGCCTTTGAAACTCAATTGGGGTCAGTAGGAGTCAGAATCGACTTGATGGCAGTGAGTTTGATTTTTCTATTCTCAGTCTACATTACCTCAATCATTTTGAGTGATTGAGAATAAAAGCTATATTTTCTAATGGAAAAAAAAAATACTGTTGAGGGATATAAGATATAATGCCCCAGGCACAATGCGGACTCATATCCAAAGCCCAACTGGGAAGTCACAAGGGGAGTTGCTCCCTAATACAGTGTTCTGGTTACCTAGTACTGTTCTGACAGGAAATACACCACAAACAGGATGGCCTTAACAAACATGGACCACTCTGTGAAACATTTATATTCAGTGATGCTTAATGGTTCTTCTTAGA